TATATTAATTCATTGTTAATAAAAAATTTTTTTTATTTTTCTACACTACTTACTATTTATCATTACTAAATACAATAGCTTATTTATTTCAAACATGTGAAACTGTACTCTTTGTTTACAATCATACATTTACTTTAGCTTACGTACAAGTAAATTTATAACCTTACCTTCAAATCTGGCGATAAATTTGTCTGAATTCCACTGACGTAACAAGGATTGGACAAACTCATCCATTACAGTAAGTAAACGGCCGACTCTCCACTTGTCCGATTAGTTTATTTATGATAATAGCGTACTATATATACATATAATTGAACACTTTTAATTAAATCGCACACGCACGTCACGCTGCCTGCAAGAGACCAAATAGACAATCTTGACTTGGCTTAGGGAGCAAGATTTGCTTGGTTAGTAACAGGTCACATTTGCCTGGCTCATCCAAGCAGTTTCTGCTTGGCTCCCAAGCAAGTCTAGCCTATATATTGTTACTTGGGTCATACAGGCTGGAACAGCCGGACAGTCAAACTACTCTGGCCGCTTTTTATTTTCAGTGTACCGGCGAGGAGTGGTCCCTGAAACATGGGGCTTCTCCGTGGATGCTAATTAGCCTGGATCCGATGCTTTGGTAGAGAGCGCCGATTTAACCAGCGAGAAATGGACGTCCTGAAATATGGATTCCTCTCCGGGGAAAAGCTACACAGTGGCGAGTGGACCCGATGCACCATTGGTGCAGAGAGTGTCAACTTAACTGGCAAAGTGTTTCACCGGAGATACTCACACTGTGCTCATGAATTAGGTATGATGACAGTTAAGGGGTTGCTCATGGGTGTTGCAATACACCCCCACACTTAGGTGGTGAGTGGGTTGCCCCACCGACTAGGCCAGTAGGCTGTTGCGGTAACCCGGTAAAAAAAAAAAAAAAAAATTAGATATTACTATACTACATAGTAAGAAGGGCATAAAGCATAATCAATAATTGTTTGTTATCACCATTTTGTAAGCCTGTATGAATTTTGGAAAGAGTATACGAAAGCACGCCAACAAAGAGATTTTATGCTCGATTTATAGACACGCTCTGAGAGTCCAAGCCTGAGACATGCGTAGTTCACGTGATGTGTATGCAGTTTTTGCTTAGTATGAATTTCAGAAATATCACAGTTAAGTCCATTATTTTACAATTTCTACCTGAGATTTGTGATCAGCGACCAAAAATACTATCTAAAAGCCTAATAATAACTTGGTAGTTTTAGTAGCCTAATGGTTTACATGAAAAAAAAAATTGTATGCAAAACTAAAATTGTCTGTTCATATTTGTACAGAATATAACAGAATATACTCTTCTAAAATAGTGTGGTTGTTCTTATAAATCTCTGTGACCAGCAAATGAAGAAAATGTAGTGATCCATATTTTGATTAAAATTTGCATTACACTGAAATACTCAAGAAAATGATGTAAAGAATCGACAGAAAGTAATTTTTAGTTCTCGTTTTAACTAATTTTAAGCTTTCTAATGGATGGTCAAGCCCACCCATAGCCTTGTGTCAACGAATAATTGGGTTGCTTAATTTTGTCGTAAAATATAACTATATATACATGTATATGTTACTAGCAGCCCTCCTTGAATTCGCCCAAGACTCACTAAATAAAATACTGCAGTATGATGACACGTAAAGTAAGACGAATTTAGTTAAAAATTTTACATCATCTCCTGACATTTCTCACAACAAAAATCTTACTAAGAACATGTTTGTTCTGAATTCATACAGTGTATTTGGTCAAATAATAAGCAGTAAAAGGTAAAAAAAATATAGCCATCCTGAAAATTACAACGCATTGCTTACGCCAAAAAATAATCGTTGGCCCTAAAAAGCCGTTGATTTAAAATTTCTACCGTATAATCTATGANTGTATTTTTGAGTGCTAAGGCGAATAGTGTCATTAGTTTTTAACAAAGAAGAGAAAACAAAAAGTTATGAGCAAAAATTAACACATAACTGAAAATACGAAAAAACAGCCAAGTAAACGTTCTTTTATAATTCTAATAATACTTAAAAAATTCTTTTAATAGTGAAAACTGTATTTAATTTAAACATAGAACAGGTATACTAAGAATTTTATCTGAAATAATATCTCATATAAATCATTTTCGATTAAGGTATATAATGTGAGAAAAAATGAATTATTTACTTATTTATTGTATAAATACTAGTAGATGTTAAATCTAAAATGGATTATTTTTTCTAAGACATTTTGACAACCGTATTTGAGCATTATTAATTAATAAATTGCTTTCTTAGGCGTGCAAGCATTAGCGATTAGTAACCAAGCTGTTTTTTTGTATTATGTAATACTAGCGGCCCCCCCCCGTCTCAGCTTCGCCCGAGACTCACTAAATGAAACACCATAGTGTGTTGACATGTGTTGTGAAACGTTTTCAGTTAAAAATTTTACATCTATTTCTGACACTTCTCAGAAAAAATCTTCATATAAAAAACATATTTATTCGAAAAGCATACAGTTTATTTGGTCCAGTAAGAATCCGTAAAAAGTGAAAAAAATATAATTATGCCAAAAAGTACCGTGCATTTCTTGTGCCATAAAATAATCGCTGGCCTTAAAAGACCGTTAATTTGCAGTTTCTCCCGTATAATCTATGAACAGGGCTATTTTTTTAAGCTGTAAAGATTCAAAGCTCACAAAAAATATGTAATTAAAACATTTTTTTCTCTTATCTCACACCTTCATTACCACACCAGGGCTATTTTTTTAAGCTGTAAAGATTTAAAACTCACAAAAAATATGTAATTAAAACATTTTTTTCTCTTATCTCACACCTTCATTACCACACCAACAAAGTCCTGGAGCGTAATCTCTACATTTCTTATCGCTACAAAAACACAAATACAAATATTACCTATTTAAAAATCTAGAAGATTCAACAGATTACTCTGAGGGTTGTAGTAAAAAGCTTATTTTTCAATTAATAAATTCTTTGTTTATAGATTTTGATACTGCTGTACTCTCGATTAATGTTTAGCGTCATTCTCTTGCCGCCTAAAATTGTATTTAATAAGTGCATTTAAAGTTTTCCTTCTAATTCGACTTTTTGCAACTTTTGGCATAGTTAAGACTTTTGTAAGCCCTAAAGGTTATTTTTTCAACTTTATTACGTTGTAATATATTTGTTAGCAAGGTAGTTTGACGTCCGATGACCCTGAAAAGGACCAGCTCCTAAAGTAAAATCTTTACTGACTGAAGTTTACAGCAAACGTGATTGCCTCTATACCTCAAGGTTATCTTTTCTAGTCTGCTATTGTAGCACCAAACTAATCAAGAGAAAAACTACAACGTTTGAAGCTTTGGAGCCAGTTATTTTGGTGATTTAAGGTAAAGAGATTAATTTGTGACGCTTGCCCGTTGGAGACTGTCCCGTTGGCTCAAGTTTATTTTTCCTTAATAGCTCTTAAGTTCGCCCAGCGCAGACCTTGGAGATGATAGGTGATTCCTGGTTGAATGCTTAGAGTCGAGAGGTTAATATGAAATTGTCGGTCACTGAGGTTCCCAGCCTTGCGACAAACAACTCCGTTCGTGACGTCTGCCAGTGAATGACTGACTTTGTTCAATAGTGGCTAGCTTTACATAGTATTTTAGTCAATGAATCATTTTCAGAAATGGCAGTAAAAATGTATTTTTTGGCACGGAAGTTTAAACTTAGGGGGCCTTTAAAAGAACCAACAAGACTGATAGTTAAGTAGAGAACATAAATACTTATAATGGCCCTGAAAAGGGCCAGCGATAAAATTTCCAGTTATTCCTTATCATTATTCTTAATGATGGAGAGCCAGCTGCGGGTAGCTTGACTCTTACCATTGGAATCTTTGTGTACGGAGACCGTACTGGAAGGAGGTACGCTGCTAACCAGAGAATATCTCGTCGTCAGATCATTTCCCGGATAACCAACCGCTTACCGTTAGTCAGGAAAGTGGGCCTGAAGAATACCTTCTCTGTAGGTATGCCGTTGGGACGACCAGTAAGAAGGAGGCCGTTATGGCTACTTGTACTCTTCAGGGCTGTCTTTTTTGGCTAGTATTTAAAGTAGAAAATTCTCTGACGGCACAAGGCTGGATAGTTAAACGGACACAAAACTCTAAAGTGTGGGGTCAAGTTGTGATCAGGCTAGACACGTCTCCTGGTATTCTCCTGGAAACGTTGACTTTCCGAACGCCTATTTTTCTGTGGCACTCAGCCGTCTTGGAGATCCGCGTTAAAAAGCGATATATTTCGCTTGCCCATGAAAAAAGAGTGTCATTGGTAGCTGGTATGCGCAGCTACACGACTAACAACTTTATTCTTGGTGTACTGACAATGAACGACTACGTTTGTCGACAACTCGATGGGGCAAGTTATAACCTTTCTTTACTATCTTTGATTGCGGGTGGCTTCAATTTGACCTCGATGCCACCTTGCGGATCCTACTGAACTAAAGCGCAAAATTAGCTTATTTTAGCAGAACTTTGTGCTTATTTATCACCATTGTTATTATTTTTTTTAAGAAAAAAACTATGCTAAAACCATCTCGGGATTATGAAGAATCAGTGTGCAAAATTTTAGCAAAATCGGTTCAGTAGTTTTTACGGTTAGCAATTACAACGGTTTTAGCGACTGTGCTTTATACATTGCTAAGAAGATATAAAATTTATCAGAAGAGGTACTCATTGTAACTTTAAATGAAAATAACAAAAAGGGGTAACTCTGAAGTACTTAATATTCTCTCTTTTTAATAAACGTATATTGTAAATTGTAAGCCAATAAAAATTCTTTTTGATTCTTGTCCAATATAAAACTATTAGAAATTAAAAAGATTTCTGTGAATCTTCTACGTCAGGAGTTAAAAAAAATGAGATACATTATAAAATAATAAATAACTTTAGGAATAAGGAAATACTTTATAGGTACTATACGAGATGAAAATTATTTTGTAAAATGCTTTTTTTGATACCTTTGATGGGCCTAGGTCGACAGGTAACTTCATCTTTTTTTAAAGATAAACTTTCACAAGATAATTCAGGAGATCGAATATTTTCTTTAAAATTCTCATCATGACATGCTTTTAATTTACTTTTGCACTTCAAACATGAGCTAATTAAACATGACTCTTCACAAATAATCATTTTATCGTCATCAGAATTATTTTCTTCATTATCTGGCCTCAAATGCAATTCCATTTTATCTCCCATCACTTTATCGGTATTATTTGCATCATACTGAGGTCGCTGAAATATATAATATGAAAAACGATGATTATTACACGCTTTACTTAATATCTTAAGTATAATAATATTTTTTGTTACATTAGGAGGAGTTCTTTGTACTACACTGATAAAACACCTAATAGTTCGCTAGTTAAACCATAAAAATATGATGGCTGAGAAAATTTCATCTATTGATAAAAAAAATAATTTTATTAAATTACAAATAAAGTGTAATTATTACAAAAAATAGTTTAATCTAATTAAAGGATTGGCCTTAATTATTTATTATTGAAAATATTGCTACAACTAATAAAATTTTTCTTACATTTTTACTTGTGTCTCCTTTCCCAATGGTTAGATTTAAAAAAGCATGCTAGCCAAATTGTTTGTGATAAGATTTCCTACTGATGTAGGTTCTTCCGATTATAATACAATTTTTATTGTAATGTTACGTTGCAAAAAAGCGTGATATTTTCTGTAATTAAAATCCATCATTATGAATTTTTAATTGTTTTTTTACTGATAAAAGTCGTTCAATAGTTAAGATTAAGAACCTATTAAAAGTATTTTCAACCATGCACAAGCTTTTTTATTCACTTAAAAAATGCGCCACAATTTAGTTGCTAGTCTTAAAATTCATTTTCCTATACTTGGCGTGAAAACAAAATTAAATCCAAAATTCTATCGGTGTTCTGTCAAGAATATAAAGGACGTTAATGCAAATTCAATAAGCAATTGGCATTGCTTCAAAAACTTTTAAGTAACCAAATGAAGAATTTATCTGATTTGGCCATACTATTTTTTTCGTATTTCTGAGCAAATGTTATAGGAAAATGAACAATTCTTTTTCTACTGAAAAAAAAAATTAAGAAATTCTTAGGGCAATGGACTTCAGGTTTTAAAAAAACTTTTTTTTAATTTATTTTGATTATTTTATTCCAAATAAACATTTGCCCATTCATATCAGTATCAACAAAAGAGTTGTATTTTTAAAATATTTGTGACTGCTTCTTTTGTGAGGATATAGCCGAAATTAATACAAAATTTCAAAGTCTAGTTTCTGTAACGACCAATCCCTTCCTGTTTGTGAACCTCATTATCATCAGTGGTTTTATAGATAATCATCAGAAGTATAAAAATCAGATATCACCGGTCAGTAATGCTGAAAATAACACCTAAGATTTGATAAAAAAATTTTTACATAAGGATAGTAAGGCAGGGAAATTTATTGCATAGACCGACAAAAGAAACGAATTATTACGTATTATAATGAAAAGTTAATGTTAGTATTTTGTTTTGTGTTATACTTTTTTTTCTAGAGTTCAAGTATGACTAAGATAATAACATATTTTATCAGTATGAAAAACAAATAAAATAACACAAAACACCTAAAAATAAACATAAAAACTATACTTTTTTATACTAAGTTATTCCTCACCGTCTGGTCTGTCAAGTTTCATCTTCATTTTAGAAGCTAAGTTATTGAATTAAGATTTAAATTTATGGTAAAATAAGATTTAAAAAGAGTAAAGTAAATATATTTGGGCATGTTACTTACCAGAGTAAAAAAAAAATTACTTTTTGATTAAAATTTTTTACATAGGTCTAATGGGGCACATTAAACTTTGTACCAAGGGCTATGTATTTTTTCGGATAATTTCGCATATCATGTAACAAAAACTAAAGATATACAATTTAAATCATTTATTTTCTTACAATTCCTGGTAAATCAAACGTCGTTCAGTAAAAAAATAAAACCAGACGAGTGGCACTCGGGGACTGCCGCGGTAAAGCTATTGCATAGCATTTTTTATCAACTTAAGCAATTGTAGTTATTATTATTTTTTTTTTTCAAGCAGTACTTTTTTTTCTTTGATATTAATTCAAGTTTTTTCTTTAATATTAATTCAAGTTACACTTTCTGAGCATGGTAACAGATAAGAAAAGTTTTCACAACTCGTTAAACAGTCAAAGATGGTCAATTTCAATCACAAGAGAGAATGATCGATTAATATTTGACACGTTCATACTACAAGAATAAGAAAATCACGAAATCTAATATCATTAAAGATTTATTGTAAAAAATTTGATTAAATGTGTTAAATATTTTCTTTTTGCCTTACCAGTAACTTCTTAATCGAACAGTTACACAAATTGCAAATGTCACACTTGTACGTTGTTTAATAATAAAAAAAATAGTAATAATAAATTTGTCAATTTTACGAAATATTACTGCAGACTATAATACTGATAATTTTGATAGTTAACCTGAAATATAAGTATACTTACCTGTATATTTGGAACCATCAAATCTTATGATTCCAAATACACAGGTAAGTATACTTATATTTTTAATAGTTGCTTTTTTAAAGTACACTTAATTTTTTCCGCATTCTCTTTTTGCCGTGTATATCAGTAGACCACGCAATTGACCTTTTTTTAGCGGAGAAATATTATGGAGCCACAAGGACGTTTAGATGGAATAATTCCTACTCACTGTGTTATAAAAACTTATGGCAAATAATTGCTCACAATGATATAAAAATGTTTTTTAATTAATGATGTATAATACTCAAACGAAGTATTAGTTAACAATTGATTAATTGATTAATTATGAGCGTGAATATTAATATTACAATCGATTAGATTACAAGATTACCGAATTAATCACGTTTATATTCTATTTATGAGGGTTTCTATGTTTAAATCTCACGCCGCCCGATTTCAGCGCACCACCTACTTAGCGACGCCTGGCGTTACTTTCAGTGACGTTAAACTGACACGGTCACGTTCAGTTTCTTCCGCAGTCGAGAACACTATTCACTGTGTTGTACATAGGTACACCTATGTATACATAGATACTTACATGTATACTTACGGGGCGCACATGTGGTGAGTGTGGGCAGTGTGGCATTATAAAGATATGATGGATACCTATACACCTATATACTTTCTAACAAACAGCTGCTTGGGTATTCATCCAATGTCGGAGTAGCTCGTCTCGATCCTTGCGAGCTTCATACAGTCGTACCATATACATACACGTTAAGTGAACGCTCGGCAGAGCTACATGGTAGGCGGAGTGGGGGATGTTAGGTTTTTTTCGTTACAGAATTTCTTGATATGGTCGCCGCTTAAAGTCCGCGATAAAAGCTATGCAATAGCTTAATAAAATGTAATTAAAGTTTAAGTTGTTGGTTCATCGACTTTGAAGAGTAAAAAAGTGAAAAGCTAATTTAATGAATAACTTAGTTTTTTAGAAAATTTTGCTTCTGCTTAACTATCGAGTCCCCGGTCTTGGCTCTACATAGAGTTTGGTGTATGAAACACCGTAGTGCGTTGACACAAAATGTAAAACTTCTTGAGTTAAAAATTTCACACCTATTCTTGACACTCCTCGGAAGAAAAAACTTTTTGTTAAAAGTCAAATTATTGTGTATTGACCTCCTCTATCCAAATTGCTCTATATTTTTAGAGCTTTTTGAAAGTGAAAATCGCTGATGTGCGAAAAAAACTTCGTTAATGAAAATTACAAAGCAGTGAAAAAAGATATCCACTTTGGCCAGGAGTTGAACCTGGACCTTCTTCTTGCCAGGAAGGCACGTTAATCAACTTTGCCACCGAAGCCTTGGCCAATACTCTTCCCCACTGCTGTGTGAAGCGTGTCTTAGGTCAAATGCCGATATCATAGATATTAATTTTTTTACTCGATGGTTAAGTATTATTTGTAGTTAATGAAATTATTATATATTGACCTCCTCCATTNAACAGTCAAAGATGGTCAATTTCAATCACAAGAGAGAATGATCGATTAATATTTGACACGTTCATACTACAAGAATAAGAAAATCACGAAATCTAATATCATTAAAGATTTATTGTAAAAAATTTGATTAAATGTGTTAAATATTTTCTTTTTGCCTTACCAGTAACTTCTTAATCGAACAGTTACACAAATTGCAAATGTCACACTTGTACGTTGTTTAATAATAAAAAAAATAGTAATAATAAATTTGTCAATTTTACGAAATATTACTGCAGACTATAATACTGATAATTTTGATAGTTAACCTGAAATATAAGTATACTTACCTGTATATTTGGAACCATCAAATCTTATGATTCCAAATACACAGGTAAGTATACTTATATTTTTAATAGTTGCTTTTTTAAAGTACACTTAATTTTTTCCGCATTCTCTTTTTGCCGTGTATATCAGTAGACCACGCAATTGACCTTTTTTTAGCGGAGAAATATTATGGAGCCACAAGGACGTTTAGATGGAATAATTCCTACTCACTGTGTTATAAAAACTTATGGCAAATAATTGCTCACAATGATATAAAAATGTTTTTTAATTAATGATGTATAATACTCAAACGAAGTATTAGTTAACAATTGATTAATTGATTAATTATGAGCGTGAATATTAATATTACAATCGATTAGATTACAAGATTACCGAATTAATCACGTTTATATTCTATTTATGAGGGTTTCTATGTTTAAATCTCACGCCGCCCGATTTCAGCGCACCACCTACTTAGCGACGCCTGGCGTTACTTTCAGTGACGTTAAACTGACACGGTCACGTTCAGTTTCTTCCGCAGTCGAGAACACTATTCACTGTGTTGTACATAGGTACACCTATGTATACATAGATACTTACATGTATACTTACGGGGCGCACATGTGGTGAGTGTGGGCAGTGTGGCATTATAAAGATATGATGGATACCTATACACCTATATACTTTCTAACAAACAGCTGCTTGGGTATTCATCCAATGTCGGAGTAGCTCGTCTCGATCCTTGCGAGCTTCATACAGTCGTACCATATACATACACGTTAAGTGAACGCTCGGCAGAGCTACATGGTAGGCGGAGTGGGGGATGTTAGGTTTTTTTCGTTACAGAATTTCTTGATATGGTCGCCGCTTAAAGTCCGCGATAAAAGCTATGCAATAGCTTAATAAAATGTAATTAAAGTTTAAGTTGTTGGTTCATCGACTTTGAAGAGTA